ATGGCCGGTTGGCTCACTGGCTGAGCGTGGTGCTGACAACACCAAGTCAAGGGTCAAGATCCCCTTACCGGTCATCTTTTAAAAAAAAAAAGAAGAAAGAAAATAGTAGAGCAGAAAGAGACTAATCTCTCATGTATTTTTCCTTTAAAACCCTCAGAACCACGCCCCAACCTCCATTTTCAATCCACTCACTATAGCATGGTCCTACAATCACATCACCTCTTCAAGGCCCCACTTTTACATTATCATAATAGGATTTCCCACCCTCTTAACACTGTCACAGTGGGGTCAAGTTTTGGGGGGACACTCAAACCACAGCATTTCACCCAGTTCCCCAAAACTCATGTCCTTTTCACATACAAATACAGTCATTCCATCCCCAAAGTCTTAACTTGTTTCAACTCAAAGGTCCAAAGTCCCATCTGTGAAATCAAAACAAATTACCTACTGCCAAGATACAATGGTGGCACAAGCATAGGGTACATATTCCCATTCAAAAAGGGAGAAATAGACCAAAAGAAAGGAGTAACAGGTCCCAAACAAGTCTGAAACCCAGCAGGATTGATATTAAATCCCAAAGATGGCTAATCATGTACCTTGACTCCATGTTGGATGTCCTCTGTATGCTGGTGTGGGGGTTGGGTCCCCAAGTCCTTGGGCAGCTCTGCTTCTATGGTTTTCCTGGTCTTGGTTCACACTTCTCCTCTCCCAGGCTGGTGTTCCACTCTGGTAGTCCACAAGTCTGGGGTTTCCATGGCAGTCTTGCTCTCATGGATCCACTAGGCATGTTGCTTTGGGGGGTTTTCTGCTGCAACTCTGACCCCACGTTTCAGTTCAGCATTGCTCAAATGAAGCTCTATGCAGCGAATCTACCCCTGCAACAAATCTCTTCCTGGGCCCCAAGGCTCTTCCATACATCCTTTGAAATCAGGGTGGAGGCTCCCAAGCCTTCACAGCTCTGACATTCTGCAAGCCTGCAGACCTAACACCACATGGATGACACCAAGGCTTTGATTTTCCAAAGGTGCTGGTCAAGCCACACCTGGGTCCAATTTAGCCACCACTGGTGCAGCCAAAGCAGCTGGGGTGCTGGTGCTGGAATCAGCTTCCTGAGGTGGTCCTGGGCAGCAGGGTTGTGGGAGGCACCTCAGACCTGTTTCCAAAGACCATTCTGTCTCCCTAGGCCTTTGGACCTGAAATGGAAGGGTTGGCCCCAGAGCCTTCTGCAATGCCTTCAGGGCCTTTTCTCCCATCTCTTTCTTTTGTACTAATCTTCTTAGCACCATTGCATTTTTCCTCTGAAAATGCTGTTTGCTTCTCTACCACATGGCCAGGCTAAAAGTTTTCCAAATCTTTATATTCTGCTTTCCTTTTAACTTCTGGCTTTATGTCATGCCTTTGCTGCCATAACTCAGCAAAGGCTGTTATAAGTAGCCATGCAGCTTCCTGAATGTTTTGCTACTTAGAAATTTCTTTCACCAGGGCCAGCCCGGTGGCGCACTGCTACAGTGCGCCACTTGGGAAGCGCGGCAGCACTCCCGCCAAGGGT